CACAGTTATTGTTTTGTTTACAAGAGACCTTGAAAATAATAAAATCATAGCATTTACAAGTTAAATAATCTGTTTTATGACCCAGGGTAGGCATTTTTTTCTGTTTTTTGCACCCTGGGGCCTCACATTTCTTAAATATTTTCCCTGTTTCTAGCAATGTGGAGTATTTAGTATATATTTAGGATAGAACACATTATTGTAAGTTTTATTGAGGTCTTTTGTAATTCAGCTTGTACTTTTTAATGCCGCGGTCACAAAAAAACACATTTAGGTGTTATGGCTTACTTTTGGGTTATCGACAGGACAAAAGTAACCTAACAAAATTATTTAGGAAGGATCAACGAGTTGCAATGACTGCGAAGAGTAAATATAAGCACTTCTAAACAATTTAAATCACAAATAGGCATATATTATGAATTTATTTTGAATTCAGGGCTTTAAGTAAACCATGCATACTGTAAACTGTGAATTTATGCTGAGTCATCATAGTTAAGGCTCAGGATTTTCTCAATCTTCATGAAATATTTATAAAACTTCATATTTGAGTTAAATTCTTTAAAAACTATGAGATAACCCAGATTTTGTGAAATTCTGTATGTCCTATTTTTTAACCCTATATAGGTTGCAATTCTGTAAATATAGACAATGCAATTTCCCATAGGAACTCCCTTTGCGGCTAAAACTGTGACACTTTTACTATGAAGTTTCGTGAAAAATAATATCCAAGAATTGAAAGTTTATATGCACTACTATTTTATTCAAAGGTCAAAATATAGGGCTGTGCGGCATATTTTCAACATTTATATGCCCTGAACTTCTAAGAGTTTAAACTTATACTAAAATTCTATACTAGCCTTACCTTCATATTTGGACCTCCTAAGAATTAAAATTTAGGCGCTACCATGTTTTTCTATACTGGTAACATTCCCAAGTGATGTCTCTATGAGATGAAACACAGAGATCATAAATGGGAACCAGTACACTAACAAATTAACATATCTATGAATATTATATATCTCCCCAAAAGAGGCGTGGTTTGAGAAACAGCTGTATTTACAAAGTGCAACCTATAGCTCTGAACATTTATTATTCTCTAAAATGAAATTGTTGTGTGTGCTGATTTAAAAAAAATATTTCAAATAAATTCCTTTAAAGTTTTGTGAAAAGAAACATCGAATTCCCTCACAAAATGTTATCACACACTATAGCTCTGAACATTTATTATTCTCTAAAATGAAATTGTTGTGTGTGCTGATTTAAAAAAAATATTTCAAACAAATTCCTTTAAAGTTTTGTGAAAAGAATTTCATTTTATGTATCGAACTGTGTAACAAATGATTATTTAATCCCCACTGGAGCGTAAAATCATTGTTATCGATAGCCGATGACAAACAAGTTAAAGGTAAATGATTCAGTATTAACTACGGTTGCCCACTCTGTTACGAGAATACCTCTATGTACCAATGCATTCTTATACCTTTAAAAATACTGTGATACAAACCCTATGATCCGGCGTCTTGAAACGTTATAACTGGTGATCTTGACAATGTTTACAAAATGTGTTAATCTGTAAACTGAATACACAACTTAAAAAAACATCTGGATTGAATTATGTCAAGGTGTACGCAAGATAATGGTCAAAACATAGAAAGAAGTCGTATATTACCTTTCCAAATGGGCTGACGCTGTGAGGTCGTTGATAGTTAATATAGATAAGTAGACAATTTCACGGGTCTACGAATTCTCAGACAAGACCCAAATGTTGCCAGAAACTGTCTTACTACTGTGACAAATATTTTTTTTGTTTCCGCAAACAATACTTTAAAAAATATCGATCTATTGTTTTGTTTATCAATTTTATTATATAAACTCCTTGATAATGAAATAAGGTATTGACGATTTACTAAGAACCCCAAAATATTTAATTACTGAAGGAGAAATCTAGGAAACGACATATAGTGCGATAGATCCATAACTCCTGGACGGCAGAAGTGAAAATCATCAATATCGAACTTGACCTCCATGTTTTCATCAGTGACGACATATTAGAAGATTTTAAAAGCATTGGTCAAGTTTTTTTCAAGTTATTGGATGGTTGTCATAAAGTGCCATTTTCCAATATATCAAGGACCATAACTCCTGAACGGTAAAAATGAAAAAACAAACGTCAATATTGAACTTGAATAGTTCATAAGTTATTGCATAAAAAATGTTGGCAGCCGCCCGCATGCCTACACGCCCACATGCCCAGCAGGCCCGCACACCCACCCGCAGTAAGTCCGTAAGACTTCACCAATTGAATAACTGGAGTTTTCCTTCGGAAAAATAGTTTAATATACTATAGTCAAAGTTTATTTTAATGAAATAACGAATGATAATTTGTTCATTTTCTCCTCTATGGTCTTGTGGAAGAGTGTTCGTCACGAGTGCGGAAGGTAGTGGTTGTTTCGAGTAAAATCCACAGACTTGAAAATTGGAAGTTGTTGCTTCTCCGCAGAGCAAGTGGTATCTAGGAGTAAAAGGAAAAACTGGTCGGCAAGAAGTCAATAATAATTTGTCCAATAACTTGTTAACTAGCACGTTAAAGTTCAGGCTCAGTGTATCGATCAAGTACAAAGCAATGTTCATTCTTACATCACATTAACATGTTATCGTCCTAAATTTGTATTTCATTTACCGCTAGACTGCCATTTATGATTATCGTTTATTTTCCGTAATATCTAACCGTGTGTTGGCGATTTTTAAATTCAAATTTTCGTAACTTTGACGCTTAAATTCCTACTTTGTCTGGAATAAAGTTACGTTCATAAAGTTTTTCGTAAACGGCATGATTTGTCACCAAACTTACATTAATCTTTCCTTTGCCATGTTTTTTGTTGTTTGTCTTTTCATCCTTTCCCGGGATTTTTTTTTTTTTTTTTGCAATAGTATTGTCGGTATTTCTTCGAGTTATGACTTTTGATTGTTCCTTTGGTGTCTTTTTACTCTTTTTTGCATGTGCACTTAGTGTATTTTTCTAAGTGTTATTGAACTCAATTTGAATTGAATTATTCGCTTGTTTCAATGTTTATAGAATTAATTTTTATTTCTTCCAAAAATGTGTGTGCCTTTTTTTATATAACAAAGTTTACATATTTTACTTAAAGTTGTTCAACCTAGTTGCTCAGATTAATTTGAATACAACGTAAAAGTTAATGTTCATATATGATTACCTTTCTGGATACAATTTTACGTCATTCTTTTCTAATTTTCCTTCAAAGACGGTTAGTCTCAAACAAATCCACCCACATGAACATTACAATTTAGCCTTATTGAAAGCATAATTATTTTGAAATGACCAGTTATTGACGCCTTCTTTATACGATGTCATTAGCTACAATCGTTCCCTCGTCAATGTTGAAATAAGAAGATTTAGAATGATTGCCAATGAGACAACTATCTACCAAAGACTTAACACTGATTGCTATTGAATGTTGTTCTATGTTATCTCTCTATTCGAGTTTTAAAAAGGGGAACGTTAAGTGAAACAGAAAAAAACTATTTAAACCATGCTACATGTTCATGCGCCTGAAAATTAAGTCTCGAACCTCGTCAGTTGTCTTTAGAATGTTCTTTGTCCATTGAGAGATTTGGTGTTAATTGCAGATCTTCCATAATCGCTCTTCGATTTTTCACACATTTTCAGGAGTTTGGTCAATTTAGCAGAGACACTTTTATATAGGGGAAGGTCAAACGTTGGCACACAGGCGTATGAATTGAGATAACTTATATATATGTACATAAAAAAAATCAGAAATGTCTTCATATCTTAAGAAAAATAGGTAAAACGATATATAGTCAGAATCCTGAATAGACACAGTTTAACATTTATTTCCACTTCCCAATTGTTAACTTTCAATACTGATGATGCTTATGACGAATCTATTGAATTATGGGTTCTAAGTGGTAACGTTGAAGTCATCCCTTCGGAGTTCTAAGCGGTAACGTTGAAGTCATCCCTAAGTTTTAAGGACGCCATCACGAGTTGGTTTACTTTTACTTTTATGGTTTTCTTTGTTGACATATTTGTTTGTTTTTATAGTGATTAAGAATATAACACAATTTTGACTGCTGAACCCCTATTTTTGACATTTTTACCTATTATGTCTGTATGTTTTGTTCACACATTGTGGTCAATATAATAGAATTTATGTGACTGTTATACAAGTGAGAGGTTGAACTAGCTATGAAACCAGGTTTAATTCACCATTTTCTATACAAGGAAATGCCTGTACCAAGTCAGAATTATGACAGTTGTTTTCCATTCGTTTGATGTGTTTGAGCTTTTGATTTTGCCATTTGATAAGGGACTTTCCGATTTGAATTTTCCTTGCAGTTCGGTATTTTTGTTAATTTACTTTTTACGGTTATGGAATATCTGTGTCACAGACTGATTGATTTGTATAAAATGCTTTGTCGAAATCTGTGAAATATCAAATGCTGCACGCACTTTATTTTATGTCTTTACTATTGAATTTTTGTACCTAAAGAACTACTGTAACGTTTTAAGATCCATACCCTATGATCCGGCGTCTTGAAACGTTATAACTGGTGATCTTGGCAGTGTCTACAAAATTTTTAACTGAATGTTAACTGAATACACAACTTTAAAATTTTTATGGATGGAATTCAGAATACGGTATTTAAAAAATAAGACAACTTAATTTTATTCCGAAACACAATTTAAACAAAATTGGTTAATCTTGCGTCACTAAAAGGGGTCCACATTTTTCCTGAAAAGATACAAATACAAATACTAAGCATAACTGCCATTTAGTCATCTGTTGAATTATTGATTAATGAACCAAACAAGATAAAATACATTGTGATATTAGATTGACATTTCGAGACAGCAATGTCTATGATCTTTATAAAAATATTTCTACATGCATGTGCACCTAACTCAGTGACATTTACTTCTGGCTTATAACTACAGGAAATTTGCTATTATGCACATTTAAAAAATGGAACACTGTAATGTTCAAGAGAATTAAATACTAAACATAATTATATCGATATCATTATAGTTGATATTTATTTAAAATCCAGGTGACTCATGTGTGTGATGCAAAATTCACTGCATTCAACAGCAGGCACAAAACATATTGTAAGTTAAAAAAATGTTTATATTTCTTCTGTTCAATTTATGTAAAACAATGGTATGAGAGAATTATTGAGTATGAGTAAATAAGCTGCAAGTACTTTTTTAAACTTTATGTTGAAAACATTTCTTTGTAGTCTTTTGAAATTGAATGCATTTTTCAGTTTGTTGCAGATATAGTACTCAAATTAACAACCAATAGTCATTCTTAACTGATAATTTCTTCTTTAATTATACAGGACAATATGCAGTTTTTCTTATTTCTTGCAATTATTATTTCATTGAGTGTGGTTTCACACTCGTCTTTACACGATGGAATGAGGGACGAAGGAAGATCTTTATCGGTACGTTTTGGTTATATCTGTTAAGTGAATCTAATTATATATAAGATATATTTACGATAAAAACATATTTTTATTAATTCGCTAGAAACAACATCGTATGATTGCAGCAAAAACTAAATCAAGAAACAATATACGACGGTTGATAACAAGACTTTAGTAACTATAACGGTGCATCAATATATGATGTTCATTACCACGTTTGTCTCATATATGAAATACATGTATCGACTTTTTCTTTGAAATTAATACACAAATTTGATTGGTATGGTACATGAATTATAAAAAAGGACAAAAAGAAAATGCATGATTACTCTTAAAATAATCGATGGTAACCACATTAACCATATGAGAAATACATCTATACAGTTTGAATAAAAAGAAAACCAAACAATTGCACTTTGGATCTGTAAAAATAAAAGAATAGCAATTTTTTTTTCAAACTAACTGTAAGGGATACATAAAATTTTTAATACATTCATAAACAAAAAATCAAACAATAAAAGATATTTCGCAATTTGTTACAGCACAGTAAATATGATAATTGTCAATTACACTTAAGAGGCATTAGCTACGAGACATAATAAAAAGTAAAATATGATTTTTTTGTATAGTCATTAATGAAAGGGATACAGTGAAATAATAATTTGCTTTTACAGCCAATTTGGTTCAATTTTGTCAAAATAAGCTAAGAAACATCGCTGATGAATTATTCACTTGCAAGTGAATAATTCGACCTCATTGAATCCATATTCATGTGACCTTCAATATAACCCCTTAGCTGGAGTTGGGTTACGCATGTATTCAGCTATTAAATGGAAAAGAATGTCAACATTGAAAGTGAAACAAGGATGAACCATTCGATTGACTGATTCGATCCACAATAAAGTCATTCTTTTACAGATAAAAACGGTGATAAACCTATTTTTAAGACTACAATATGAAATCAAACAGATCTAGAAAAAAAAGCAATCGCACGTGGTCGCCTTCTGTTTATTTTATATTTCTGTTTGATCGTTGGCAGTCTTCGGATTTCATCTCGATGGTTAATTAGAGGACGTCTAGACAAAAATACACACGAAATGTTGATACATATTTTCGAGTCCATGCATTGTTAATTGTTTATTTCAGACTTTTTTTGCAATTTGGATACACGTCTTAGTATGTTATAAATCAAATATGAGAATTTGAGTCAAATCGATGAACAAGAATTTGACAGCTTATGCCCCTTCAAAAACCTATTAATTCATTTTTTTTTCAATTGGCCGCCTTGTTAAATATTTGCTTTGTCCAGTCAAATTGTTTTCAAAGCGTTATTTCCAAATCTGTTGCTTAATAAAATTCTATGTCAATATTCGTAAATTTATGCAATATTCAGTTGAAACAAATTTTTGCAAAAGACCCGCGATAGATAATACAATTCCGAACTAGATTTGTAACATTAAACGATATCAATTTTACAGCTACAAATGCGCATGTTGACAATAATTTTTCTTCAGTGATGATCATGCCAAATATTTAAAAATATATAAAGCCAAACACACACGTTGACAAGCTAATATAACTGAAAAAGGACAAAAGTATAGCCAAACTCGGAAGAGTAATCCGTGATATGCATGACAGAGATACATTCCTTAATTACAATTTATTAACTATTTTTGTATTGCAGCAAATTTCAATAAAACAATATCCATATCATCATGTAAGTACCGAGGTATTGAGTTTAATTATTTGATATTTCACTGTATTGTAAGTAATAACGTTTGATCTAATGACAGAGTCTGACGTATCAAGATTGCAAGGATATGTCAAGAACTCCTGAATTTCAAGACAACTACAGTACATGGGAAGAACAGGTGTGTTTATTTTGGTTGTATGGGTTTGGAAAAGAGGAAGCAGAACAATATGCAACTTTATCTATTGAAGATGGCGATCTGGATAGAAATGGTGTAATTGACGGGGAAGGTATTCTTCAAGTATTGATTAGAATTTTATTTGGAAATCCGTCATTGCGAAACAAAAAAAAAACCTTATTTGCAAAAATGTCAAATTAATTGAAAATCATCATTTCATCCTAGGATTTTTTTACTGCGCATTTTTACTTTTTATTGAAGCCTTAACTGATATATAACACACAGAAAGAAAATAATATTTGTTTAGTTTCACGGGAATCGTCTTGGTGAAATATTTTTGAGAGAGAAATAGGAAAAGTATTATGCCCTATTCTTTCCTTTATTTATAGTATACCAGAATTTTTATTCATTTTTGCAGAATTTTTTGGAAGACCAAACCCATGAAAGACACATAATGTTACAGTTTGTTTGTACCTTACGAAAATAAAATTAATCTTTTGATGTCTTCTTTTATTTTGTCGAACAAATTTAAAGATTATTCACATGAGTTTGATGCAGAAAACTGACAACTGTTGCGAGAATACAGTGTGAATGATGGTAACCAATTCTTCAAAGGGTTTAAAGAGTAAAACTTTCTCTATCGAAGAACAAGGTGATCAATTATAGAATGAAAATAATTGAAGAAAACCCAGAACGCGACACCTGAAGTCAACGAAGGAAGGAGTTCAAGCAAATAATGCTTTAGCACTATATCTAATTTTGAAAATAGTAAGTTTTCATTAATATCTTCACCAAGGATTTGTCTTTCCACTTTGCGAGAGCATCCAAATTATCATTCGGTTTATGGAGAACTTAAACCGTTGATCTACGTTTTGATGGAGTTAAAAAGAACAGAAGTCCGTTGATCGATTAGTTACTGGTATGTTAAGTGAAATTTAAAATAGCATTCCATAACCATTGTATCATTACATTATTTTCAGGTTAATAGTATATAGTAAAATATCTCAGTATTACAAAAAAAAAATGGAAGTTAACACTTGCTCTATGTCATTACTCACTCAAACAAAATGGCGATATGACACCTCATTAAATGTCAAAACAGTCTTGAAATTTATGATGAACTAGAGGAAATTGATATGAGCCATCACAAAATGCCCCGATAGAAGCTACTAAGGTAAACTAAACTTTTTATCATGATCGTCATACTACAGTTTTCTACAATGTTTGCGACACATTCTAGTCGAGTTTCATTTCCGATACTACAGGGGTTATAAAGTTAGGGAGAGGCAATGATGTTTGTATATATGCATAGGGGTAGCTAAGTTGAACATTGTTGTTTACCATGTCTTTCAAAGTAAGATTTCCATCTTCGTACGTGCCACACGTGAATAATCATATACGACTTCTAATGGTTTTTAAGTTAGAGAGCTGAAACGATTTGTGACGGACACAGGGACGGACATATACTAGTATATTTTGGTCTTCCTCCGATTAATTGGCTGGATTCTAACAATAGAGGATCGTAAATTAACGATCAACTTCTAGCAAAATTAGTTATAGAACGTATAAGAAACTGTTTTGTAGCAGATTTATCATTTTAGGAATAAGAAGGAATGAGCTGTCAAATTGACAACAAACTGGGTTTTCTGTATTTTGCAAAGCGCTTTCAGGCTTTTTTTTATCTGCCACATTCTATGTTAATTTGTCAATCTATCAAGGACCATAACTCCTGAACAGCAAACATGGAAATTAGCAATATCAGACTTGACCACTACTTTTTTATTTTGTCATCAGTACCAGCACATCAAAATTATAAGAGCATTAGTTGAACGGTTTATAAGTAATTGCATGGGATCGACATATAGTGCGATAGAACCACAACTCCTGGACGACAGAAGTGAAAATCATCAATATGAAACTTGACTTCAATTTTTCATTACTAACAGCATATTAAATTTTAAAAGAATTTTTTGTTTTTCAAGTTTTTGGATGGTCGATATAAAGTGCCATTTTCCAATATATCAAGGACCATAACTCTTGAAAGGTAAAAGTTAAAAACGTCAATATTGAACTTGATCCCAATTTTGTCCTCAAATACAACATATGATAATTTAAAAATCATTCGATGAACAGTTCATAAGTAATTGCATGAAAAATGTTGACAGCCGCCCGCACGCCTGCACGCAAGCACGCCTGCACGCCCGCACGCCTGCACGCCCGCACGCCTGCACACGCGCACACCCACCTGCCGTACGTCCACAATATTTCACCAATTGAATAACTTGAGTTTTCCTTCGAAAAACCCAGTTTAATATGCAATAGTTATCATATATTTTTATAAAATTACGAATGTTACTTTTCTCCTCTATGGTCTTGTGGTAGCGTGCTCATCATGAGTGCAGAAGGTCGTCGGTCGATCCGGGTAAAATCAGAGACTTGATTCAAGAGAAGGGTCAATATAGAGCTCGATATTTTGAAGAGACAAGGTCAAACGTTGACCTCTAAAAGTATTTTGTTTTGTCGTTTGGTTGGTGTCTCATTGGCGCATATCCTACAATATCTTCTTTATGTAAATGTGCAAATATATATGAGTAAGAACAAGTATTGGCCAGATTGGCATACAGGCGTGTGAAATGAGATAACTTATAAATGTTCCTTTATTCATATGAGGCTTATTTCATACAGGAACTTCTTAGGAAGAAAGAAAAGAAGTAAGCAGCATTATTTAATTCACTTCTCGCTATGAGGATGATGTCCTCTTACTAAGTAATTTAAAATTTGGTGACTATGTAGAACGCATCTATTCCTTCGAACATGAAATATGGGATACAACAGATAGAGTTGTCTATCTGGGGTTCGTGTTGCTTAGTCTTTAGTTTTCTATGTTGTGTCATCTGTACTATTATTTGTCTGTTTGTCTTTTTATTTTTGGCCATGACGTTGTCAGTTTGTTTTTGATCTGTGAGTTTGACTGTCCTCTGGTATCTTTCGTCCCTCTTTTGTCTGCCTCATATCTTGACGTACATTTAGAAATTGACAGTGAGGGTCGGTTGAAAACAAAACATAACGACCAAAAGGATGATTTCAGTTTCCAAATTGTGAACTTTCCATTTCTATGTAGCAACATTCCAGCAGCGCCTGCATACGGAGTATATATCTCCCAGTTGATACGATATTCTAGGGCTTGTGTTTCCTATCATGATTTCCTTAATAGAGGATTGCTGCTCACAAGGAAGCTATTAAACCAAGAGTTCCAAGTGGTGAAGTTGAAATCATCCCTTTGTAAATTTTACGAACGCTATCACGAGTTGGTTGACCGTTATGGAATATCTGTTTCAAAGATGACGATGGGTATGTTCCAATTGTCGCTACTACAATCTCGTCCCCTTTCCCCGAATGTGACTTACCGAAATAGACATATCACCGGGTTTGTATTTACAAGAGTAGCACGACGGGTGCCACGTGAGGAGCTGGATCTGCTTACCCTTCCGGAGTACCTGAGATCACCTCCAGTTTTTGTGGGGTTCATGTTGCTCAGTAATAGGTTTTCTATGTTGTTTTGTGTACTGTCTTTTTCTTTTCTAGCAATGGCGATGTCAGTTTATTTTCGACTTATGAGTTTGAATTTCCCTTTGGTATCCTTCGCCTCTCTTTTTCATCACATCTATCCCATTGAACTTAAAGCAATACTACCACACATAAAGTTAGGTTTGCTTCATAACTTCATTAACACTGAGATATTAACAGTTATGATCGGATAGAACTTAACTTTTCGACAAAAGAAGTTTTTAAACATTGTTATAATTTTTTTTTATTTTATGTAACAAAAATCCAGCAGCATCATCATTTGAAATATATATATATATCTCCCAGTTGATACGATATAGGACTTGCATTTCCTATCGTGATTTCTGTCTTACCTACTGCTTATAGCAAGTTATTGAACCAAAGTTTCGTAATTGTGAACTTAATGAAATCTCTGAACGTCGTACGGAAGCCATCATAATAAGGTTGATCGTTATAGAATATCTGTGTCACAGATGACCACTGATATGTTCCACTTGGCGTAACACAATCGCGTTCTTCATTCTTCATTTTTAACATCATAATTAGTTTTATTTTTTGTGTCTTCTTTACGAGAAATGCAGTTTTAAACCAGTATAACTCTAATTGATCGTATTGACTCCAAAATAATTTTCTTATAAATTTCGACCATTGACATTTGTCATTTGAATACATAATAATTAACGGAGATGTTAGGGGTTTACGTCAAAGAGACAGCAGTGTAACAACAGTGAAAATAACAGTTCATTAAAGCTCAGAATACGGTATTCAAACAATAAGACAACGTAATTTTCATCCGAAATACAATTTAAACAAAATTGATTAATCTTGCATCACTTAAAAGGGTCCATATTTTTCCTGAAATGATAAAAAGTACAAATACTAAGCATTACCGCCATTTAGTCACCTGTTGAATTAATTATTAATGAAACTAAGAAGATAAGGTATATTGTGATATTAGATACTTCGAGACAGCAATGTATATTGTCTTTATAAACGTATTTCTACGTGCAAGTACAAATAACTAAGTGACCTTTTCTTCTGGTTTATAACTACATCAAATTTGTTATTACGTACATTGAAATGAATCACTGTAATTTTCAAGTGAATTTATTATAAAAACATAATCATATCGATATCATTATAGTTAATGTTTATTTCATATCATTATCATGTGAAGCTCTAAATCAAGGTGACACGTGTGTCTGGTGAAAAACTCACCAGCAAGTATAAAACATATTGTAAGATAAAGAAATATATGTTAAATTTATGTAGAACAGTGTTATGAGGGAATTGTTGAGCATGAGTAAATAAGCTGCAAATACTTTTTAAAACTTTATGTTGATAAGATTTCTGTGTTATCACAGATGCCTGAAATAGTCATTTGAAATTAAAAGTCTTTTCAGTTTGTTTCAGATACAGTACTAAAATTATCAACCAATAGTCATTCTCAACTGATCATTTCTTCTTTAATTTTACAGTGTAATATGCATTTTTTCTTATTTCACACTCGTCTTCACGTGATGGAATAAAGGATGTGAGAATATCTTTATCGGTACGTTTCAGTTATAACTGTTGATCACTGTTAAGTGAATCGAACTATATATAAGAAATATTTACGATAAAAATATATTTTTATTAACTCGCTAGAACCAACTTGGCACGATTGCAGCGAAAACTAAATTAAGAAACAATATACGGCGGTTGATAACAAGACTTTAATAACAATAACGGTACATCAATATATGATGTTCATTACCACGTTTGGCTCATATGGGTAATACATATATCGACTTTTTTCCTCTGAAATTAATACATAAATTTGATTGGTATGATGCATGAACTATAAAAAAGGACAAACTGAAAATGTATGATTACTATTCTGATCAAAATAATCTATGGTAGCCTCTTTAACCATATGAGAAATATATACAGTT